ATTGGAGGGGGGCCCGGAGTAATTAGTATTTTCTTCCTTCCTTTTTTTTTTTTTTTTTTCCTGGATGGATTTTTTTTTAAATTAATTTAATTTGGGATTAAACCAAGGAACCAATTTGGAAATTTTTTCCAGGATTTTTTTAAAAGTTTATGTAGTTTCACCATGGCAAATCATGATTGAGTTTCTCTTCTTTTTTTTTTTTTTTTCTTTTAATTTCAATTGCTAACAAACCTAATCAAGTAATTAATAATCTGATAAGATATTTGTCTTATTTTTCTTTACCCACTACAATCTAGATATTTCTATAATTTATTTTATTAAAATTAATAATATACAATTTTTTTTTATTTTTTATTTGTTTATATAATATTATTAAGTTCAAATCAAATTATATTCTCATATACATCATCATTTTAATGTTATTTACTTGATATCATAATTAGTATATGCATATCACCTAATTGATAAAAAGAATAATAATAAATTAGTGTAGATATTTAGCCGTGATAATTGCTTAATTAAGAAATAATCAAGCAACATAATTGTTTTCTGTTGTTTGTTTTTTTTTTTTTTTAAAAGAAGAAGAATAAGAAATTATATAATTGGTTTGCGGCAATGGTGCAAAACATAATTGAGGTTTAGGGAGACATAGTGCCGCACATGTAACACGTGCCAAAGGAGCTTTTATAGGTGTCTTACTGTCATTGGTTCACATGGGCACATGGTGATGCCACATGCTTTTAACTCTTTCTACTCACAAAAATTATTATTACTACTCCAATTATTATCCAATCAAAAAGTGCTTATAAAAAAAGAGTTAATTAAACAATTAAAGTGCTAATTTTTTATTCCAAAAATTTTTAATAAATATTAAAAAATAATGATGTAAAAATTAAATTTTTTTTTAAAAAAAAAATATATAATAAGAGTTGAAATTGAAATTAAAAAATGAAATAACCGGGGGAGGATAAGGTAGAAAATTAATATTGCGCACAGGTGGGAAAAGAAAAGAAATAATTGAAGGGCCAACTAACTTTACCAGAAAAAACTACCAACTGCCAAGACCAACGAACCTATTGCAATTAATATTTAATTGTTTAATTATATATGCCTACATGGAATGGCTACAGGCTTCGATAAAAAAAAAAAAAAAAAAAAAAATTAAATTCCCACCCACTATTTTGGGGAGGTTCCTTGGATTCCCAACCTTTTTTATACTGTGACTTGATGGTAAGTGCATGCACTAATTCCCTTTTTAATTACGATTAACAACAATATCATGTACATACATACATACATATATGTAAACGTATATATAGGTTGTGTAATTGAGTGGGGTTGAACTCAATGGTTGGGAGCTCCACCTAGACACATCAATTTAATAAAATTATATATTTTTATATACAATTAAAAAATAGCATAATTTTACTCCAAATTTCAAATGTGATTTTTGCATAATAACCAAATAATGTGTTGTCTGATTTTCAGTTCAAAAATTCTGATCAGATTCTGAAATATAATCCAAGTTGGATTGGTCGTGTATATTTATATAGTAAATTAGGATTAAATATTAAATTAGTGTTAATGTATGTATGTATGTATGTATGTATGGATGGATGGATGGTATGCACATGGGGAAGAACATCGAATTGAAAGACGTGAGGTAGTAAGATATCTGAAACAGGGTGTGGGGCCTCCTTTGTTGTTAAAGTATGTGTAGGGCCCAGCATTCCGCATTCATCCATACATCCCCATCAATATTAATTTTTACCACCTACATTTTTCTTTAATTTTCCCAAATGGATACTAATTCAAAAAAAATC